CCGGCACTCGACTCGTTCTCGCGCTTCTCCGGCTGTGCTCGCAACGACCTGCAAGTACTGGGCCACAAACACGCGCTCCGCAACCGACGCACCACTTTGTTCGTACTCGAGCCACTTGCGCCTCGTGGATCCAATTTTTAACTGAGCTCGAGCCGCCTCGATGTGTACCAAGCCCCGTAACGCCAGTACACCCAGGTCCAACACTATGAGTCCTCTTAACTATCAGATGGATGCTATCTCGTCCAACTGGCCCATTCATTTAGGTGGATATCTCGACTATTTTGTCTACCAAGTTGAGTGGGTCACAGGTGAGAACGGCTACGTGCGTTGGATGCTGAACGGTGCTCCGATCTTCGAAGTCACGACCGACGCGTTCTCGAACGTCCCGCAGAACGCGAACAAGTCGAACCCGGTCAAAGTGATGCTGGAAGAGCCCATGTATCTCATTTTCAACGTTGCATTATCCAGCTCGTGGGGTGCGACGGGGCTGACGAAGAGACGAACCGGATCTGTGACGAGTTCCCCATGTACATGAAGATCGACTACATCCGACTATACCAAGACCTGAGCGAAGACCTTCCTGCCGATAGCTACATGCAGCTCGGTTGTGATCCTAAGAGCCACCCGACCAAGGAGTGAATCGAAGGCCACATCGATTAGTTTTCGGACGACGACAACCCGGTCAAGACGGTGCACGGCAAGGCATTCTGCAAGACCAATGACGACTGTACTATTGGCGGCAGTGTCGGGTCCACGTTACTGAAGACGGGAACGTGTGTCAAGTCTCGCTGTGTGTGTTCGTCCACGTCGTGGAGCGGACCTCGCTACACGGAGGCTCAGTCTGATACCTCTGAGAGCTCCAGCAGTCTGTCGAAACGTGTGTATGGACCTCCGATGAATGGTGGTCGGTAGTGTCGCTATCCTTTTGTCTATCGGGTCGGTGTGGCTAGCGTCTCTAGTGACGGCGAAGGAGACGCAAAAGATGCAGAAAAACAAGGACGCAGAGCGAGAAGCAAGACAGCGCGAGACTAAGGCGTCCCAACTCTCCAGTAGCGACCTCGGCTCGAGCTTTAACCAGCCCAAGGACAACTACAAGCAGAACTTTGTGTAAGCAGGAAATATCTCGGTGTTGTTTTGTGGATGAAAATATTCTACTAACGTTACAGTAGTATTGTGGCATTCTACCCTCTATTAATTCATTACATCTGCTTGTAAATTACGTGATGTAATACATGTAGAAGCTGGCGTGGAGACCGTCCTCGTCTACAGCCCACACGATGTACTGTATCATGCGATACACCTGCGTGCGAGCAGATGCTGACATCGACATACATACGTGGTCCTGCAACAACACTGTTGGCTCTCGCAAAGTAGAGACAGTCAGTTCACGATTGTCACCCTGCTAGCTAAGACGTAGAATCCATAGAGCGCTAGAATGTGGGGGTTCATATGGACGTTAGCTTTGGTTACGACTCTCGTCACAGGGAAGAGCAGCTCCGGGTCGTCCGAGTACCCGACCAAATCGGGGATAAAGACATGGGTAGACCCCGATACTCCCCGTGATCGCCAAGTATACACGAGTTCTCGAGGCCGACAATGGCAACTGGTCATGAGCGACGAGTTCAACGTGGCCAACCGCAGCTTTCGACCAGGCGACGACCACATGTGGACGTCACTTGATAAACCGGACGGTGTCAATGGAGCTCTCGAGATCTACGCACACAACATGACCAGCACCAAGTGCGACGACGATGGGACTTGCTACTTTTACATCGAAGTGGACTCGGACAACTATACCATTTCTGTATACAACATGTATACGCACCCGCCAGGATACATGAACTCGACATTCTACTATCGAGCTGCCATGGTGCAGTCCTGGAACAAATTCTGTTTCCAAGGAGGCATGCTAGAGGTGCGAGCTCAGCTACCCGGAGCCGTGTCAACCGCTTCAGGCAACCCCGACCTGGCACTGGGCAAGAATGGACAAGTGACTGAGACTTCGTATTACCCGACTTGGCCCGGTATCTGGATGATGGGGAACCTCGGTCGAGCCATCTTCTCAGGATCCACCAACCGCATGTGGCCCTTCTCATACGATCGATGCGAACCCGAGATCTTCGACCCAAGTAACCAACGAATCAGCGCTTGTGACGATGATCCTGGCTACGGAATGAACCCGAACCAAGGGCGAGGAGCCCCAGAGATCGATCTCCTCGAAGGTGGCGGCTTGGCCATCTCGTCATCACTGCAGATCGCCCCAGGAATGCCCACGGACTTTCGTCTCTTCCCAGCCGACGCCAAAGGAGTCGATGCGACCAATCCGTACTGCGTGTACGCGTACAACTGCAAGACCGACGGAGCAAATTTGATCGACGTTCCAACGGACTTTTACGAGCAAGAGCGAGGCCACAAATCCTGGTACCAAGGTCTCCGATACGCGGCAAACAACAATTGCGCCAAGAAGAAAGCCAACGTGCAGAATTTCGCCACAGTCAACGCGTCTGTCGCTCGTGGGATTTCTGAAAACTCGTGCACTACCACGACGTGTCCTGCCTCCCTTGATGTGAACGGAGACTTGGATTTTATTGACGGAACCGGTAAAAACCACTGGGGGATCAACTCGAACGGCACGTGCTTCCCCATCATGAACTCGTACATGGGCGCGTATCTGTGCGATCCCGACAACACCAACGCCAGGTGCACCAGTCCTCGGAACTCCACCACGCCAAAGTCGAACGCGATGGATACTTTCAACTACCAGATGGACGCTATCTCGGCCAATTGGCCGATACATGTCGGAGCGTACACGGGCTATCTCGTCTACCAGCTGGAATGGGTCACGGGTGTGAATGGATACGCACGCTGGATGCTTCAGGGCAGTCCTCTATTCGAAGTGACGGCTGACTCGTTCTCTAACGTGCCTCAGAACTCCAACAGCAGCAACCCCCAAAAGGTCATGCTAGAGGAGCCAATGTCGATCATCGTTAACGTTGCGCTATCGAGTTCTTGGGGCACGAAGCCTCCGAACCCTGGTACTGCCTGCAGAGGAGACGGCTCGGACAAGACAGTCAACAAGATCTGCGATGAGTTCCCAATGTTCATGAAGGTCGACTACATTCGACTGTACCAGGACATGGGGGACGACTTGGAAGCTGACAACTACATGCAAGTGAGCTGCGACCCAGCGAGTCATCCGACTAAAGAGTGGATCCAAGGCCACATCGACGAGTACCAAGACGACGACAACTTGGCGACTGAAGTAATCGGTAAAGCTTTCTGTACCTCCAATAGCGACTGCACTGTCGGAGGGAATTACGCTAGAACCGACTTAATCACGGGAACGTGTGTCGACTCACGCTGTTCGTGCTCGTATCCGAAGTCGTGGGGTGGTCCTCGTTGTACTGTGGCCCAAGCAGAGTCCACGTCGTCCAAGGCGTCGACGCGATTGTACGGCCCGCCCATCCCGTTAGCGTTGGCAGTAGCTGCCGTCGCTGTCTTCCTAACGTCCATTTCAGTGTGGAGAGGCGTGTCGGCTGCAGCCAAGAGGAACGCAGCGGTCACCAAGGCGAATATGATGGCGAAGGGCGATCTAGAAACTCGAGTCGCCGGAAATCGCAATAGTAGCGACGTTTCTCACTTGTAATAAGGGACAAATAAACCAGCTAAAGGCCGTTCCGTTACCGTTATTGAAGTGTCGATCTGGTAATGCTGGGGATCAAGGCGTTCGTACAGGAGTCGGTGCACGCGCTTCCTCCGTCTCAACTGCGTCTGCTAGCCGAGACGCTACGGGTCGATCTTCGAGGCTGTGAAGACCGACGAGACATCGAGCGGGTACTAACGGGTTTGGTTTGTCTGGACCAAGACACGTCGCTTGGAGTTTTCCTCGCGTGGCTCCGCTCTGCAGATTTGCAACAGCACAAGAATGCCAGCAAGAAGCAAACGTTCAACAATACGTTCCTACCAGCGATCACAGAGACCCGACCCACCAACCAGCAGTCGGAGCGTGTGAAAGACCATCATCTAGACGACGAGATCACGCAGCACTTGAGGGAGTTGGAAGCTCTAGAAGCCTCATTTAAGAAAGCAGAACGCCTCGTGCACACAGGATCACCTAGCTTTGAGAAGCTCAAGCGGTTCTTGATGGAGTTGACGCTACTGCGAGCGAAGGAGCAGAGTGCCCGCGTTTTTCTGGTGCAACAAGTGAGTGTTTTAAAACAGCAACACGCTGATATGCGAGCTGAGGTGCTGCACTCTAGAGCTCAGTTGGACTTCTTCGTTGAGGGATTCACGAACTTGAGAAAGAGACACGACGCGTTGCTGACAGACGCCACGCGAATGAAAGCTGAGAACGAGTCAGCGCACGAAATCTTCGTGTCGATGAGCGCTCACGACTGCTTCTTCGAGCAACTTATGCGCAACACACTGCGGCAGCAGATGCGAGATAACGACGAGGTGACGCGGAGACTTCAGCAAGCGACTGAGGATCTCGACGCAGCAGCTCGGAAGCGAAGAGAGCTGGAAGATCAGATCGCGCAACTTAAACAGGAGCGCGGAGGTGCGCGTAAAGATGCCTATTGTTTTAAACGGCAGCTCCGTGTGTGTAAAACACGAATGAGACGACTGCAGACAGGAGGAGGCGACGGCTCTTTCTTCCGTGATCAAGCTGTGGAGTTGCGTCAGACGGTTGCCACTCTACTGGGACTTTTACGTGATGCGGTGGTGCGAGACACAAAGTCACCGAAGCAAGCACTAAGCAAAGAGGCTTTGAGAATTTTGCACCAAGTGTTGACGCCAAAGATTAAGTTGCCAGAGAGTGAGGCGCATTTCACGCGTTTCCATGGCAATCAAGAGCCTGCAAGTGGAGAAATAGACCCCACGCAACCACGAGTTGTCTACCGACAAGCGACTCTCGATATCGACGAAGTTGTTAAAGGAGTTTTACTAGTAGAGGGCTCCAGTACGTCGACTGATGCTGCGGAGTGTGCACGAATAATGAGCGAGAAGCTGAAGTATTTACCGGTCGATCTGAAACAAACGCTGATGCAATTTCAGCTGAATGAGGAGAACGAAGCGCGAGCAGCTAACGAAGAAGAAGAACAGAGAAGAGTGCAATTGCCCTTGGAACAGCAGAGTGAAGGTCAAGGAACTGACGGACGAAGCGATTCCAGCGCTGAAGCTCCACATAACCCCCCTCCCTCATCAGCACAGACCACGTTATTTGCTGACCGACCAGCACTGACACTCGAAGGCTACGCTAGTGCACTGCAAAAGCACGTGTCAGCCTTAATGGCAGCGCAGAACAAGCGAGGCTTTGTCATGTACAACTGGCCATTCTCCTCGCGTGACGTGCACTTGCTCACAGCCATTGGACTGCCCGTCGACAGCGTCATCAACCTTGAAGTCATAGAGAGCGCTCCTACATCTTCCAGCTCCATAGCAACTTCAGCTTCGACACTTGCAGCGACATCAACTCCAACTCCCGCTCTGAAGCCTAAGACCCCTACAGTCACGACAAAAGCGCCCCCAGTAAGCGGTAGTAACTCACGATCCAAAGCTCCCGTTGTCAGCTCCACAGTTCGAGGCAAAGTATCACCGACGAAGCCAACAGCAGCCTCGAAATCTCCAGTCAAGCCTGCAACTCGTACAGCAGCTCCAAGTGCAGCAAAATCTCGAGCTACGAGCCCCACACGCGGCACTAAAGCCACAATCGCGACACCAAACACCCCTTCTAAGCCCAAAACTCCGACTGTCCCCTTAACTCCAGTCAAATCTGGTACAAGCTCGTCTCAACTTAAGCCTGAAGCTACCAAAGTTGTCAAGAAGATTCCAACCGCTGCTTCCTCTCTCCAAGGCTTGGGTGGCATCTTGCAGTCAGTTGCACCCGCAGCTTTCCCAGCTGAGCGGGTGGACGCCATTCTACGCATTTTGGAGCAGCAGAAACGCTGTCGATTGGCTCCAGTGATACGATGGGACGAGGCCACGCGCCATACGAACGAAATGCTGGCCATGTGGGCCGAGGAAGTTCACATGCTCGTCCATCTCGAGCAAGAAAGCCGCAAACCTCAGAAAGCGCCGCCGACAGCAGCAGCCATCCCCGCCAAAACCACCCCTTCACAGTCTGAACGAGCCACAGTCGCTGCCAAGAGCCCAGTACGCAGCTCACCCAAAGCTAAGGCAACTTCAACTACCAAACTTCGACCAGCGAAAAAGTAGCCATGTTTTTTTAAGTTGCCCAAAACCTGTTGCCAATCTTGCAGCAACTTCAAAGTAAAGTTTCCCAAAAGACCAATGGAGACGCGTCGTCTGCCGTATCTCCCAGCGCAATGAGAACCCACTATTATACCCGAGGCTTGGAGCCGTGGTGTGACCACGTCAGCGGCCGCGTGGGCTACACGGGCGACGACTCCTCGGACACATCCTTCCAGTCCAACGATGGCCTCGTGATTTATTCGCCCCGCAAAACCTCCATAACTCAATCCGATGCGGAAGCGGATCGTGAGATAAAAAAGACAGAGGTTTCAGCTTCGAAAAGCCCTCAAGTTGTTCGCCGTGGTCGCTCTAGTGGACTATAAGATCTGGAAAATGCTGCTAAGGCAAAGCGGGCTCGTGGGCTTAAAGCTCGGCCTCTCCAGGCTGTCGGAAGGCCATTTCCCAGCGCGTATTCTAGTGGAGCTGCCGTACGGGAGACGAGCCCCCCGCTGACGACTACGAGAGCTTAGTCCGAGCTGGCCTCGCTATTGGAGACTTTATCTCGCGAAGGCATCGTCTGCTCTGGATCGGCCTTTCGTCAAGAACTCGGCAGCGCTTTGATCGCACTGGGGAACTATGGAACAGCTAGGACAGTGGTCGGAAAGCTGGTCACGTGATTATTTGGTGTGCTCAGACGGTGACTGGAGCCAACGTGTTGACTGGGTCCCGAGTGAAGACGCTGAGCTCTGCTGCTCAGCTCGAGGTGAGCTCGGTGCACTTTCATTGCGAACCTTGTAAGCCGTAATTCTTTGAGCGTGCGTGCTCTGCAGCGGTCGTGAACCAGACAACTGGCCACGTGTCGGTGGCGATGGAGATGCAGGAGGGCGCCGCAGAGCTGGCTGACTGGGTGTTTGCTTGGAGATGGCAGTGGATTTGCTATGGCTTCTTCTCAACGAGGGCTCGACAATTATCACGTCTGGAGCGCCTTACGCTTCTGAATGTCCGCGTGCGTACAGAGGACGCGGAAGCGATGCGAGCTGTGATGTTGTCGCAGTGCCCGGAAGAAGATCTACTAGGTCTCGGACAGCAGGAGCAACAGCCAGAGCCCCGCGAGTTCTCCCTGAAAGCGAACGCATCTCTACGACAACAGTCAATGGATGCAGATGACAAAGACCTTGGGGGGAACGCGAGTTTATCAGTATCTCGAGAGATACGAGGCGTCAAGAGGCTGGGCACTCAGGTCGACAAAGGCTGGGTGGATGTGCTAGTTCCAGGCTTTGGCAAGTGTCAAACTCGCCGGTCCAATCTCGTCCACAATGAAGCTACACCTGTGGAGGATTCGAAGGGGTTATCACTTATGCTCACGTTTGTGGAAGACCCGGACGATGAGCTTATGTGCGAGTTTTTGGGCGTCATTGGTGGCTCTCTGCGGGACTTAACCATCCGAGTCTCCAACTTTCGCTCTGCCATGCTTGAGCGGATCACTGCGACTTGTCCGCGGCTGACAGAGATTGTTGTTTGCACACCGATGCTTGAGGCTCGGTTCCAAGTTCGTGGCAACAGACTGCATCATCCGATCATCGTACCTTCGACCGTGCCGTCCTCGTTCGAGAACACCATCGACCTTGTCCGCAGCTTCTCCATGACGGATCCCGTTGCTAGAGCGCTACGACGACTACGCGTTTGTTTCCGGATAAACTACGGTGAAGCCACTACTAGGCCGCCATTGGAGGAGTGCTGCACTGCACTGCCGGGCATGCTCAATGTGAATCGAACGGTGCAGTATCTCGATTTCATCTCTCCATTCTCCGGCTTGCTACAAGCGCGATTTTTTCAAGATATTTCATCTGAAGAAGCTGCCCGTTGTTCAAGACGAGTTACCTTTGCATTCCAAGCTTGGCTTCCTCAGCATGTTGCCACAGCATACATGTAATCGCCAAGAAGGAGGGGTATCCAAACGCGCTCGACGATCGCGATGTCTCGTTGATCTGGATGGGAACTCGGTGGGCTTGATATTCGCCTTCGCAGCTACAGCTGTTACGCGTAAAGTATTATTTCGGGTAGCTACAACGCCGATGGACGAGCAAGATTTCATCTGAGCATTTGTAATCGCTACCTGGAATGCTTTTTTTATATGAGTGAGGTGTAGTGTTACCAGCTCTTGCAAGCCTAAACTCTAATACCCGGCTACCTGGAATGTTGTCTACTGATCAACTGTGCCTTCTCCAACGCCTCATCCTTCCGTGTGCGGTTCAGGAATAGTTGGAACAGACTGGACGCGTGGGTTGTCTAACTGTTCAGGTGGAATGCCGCCACAGTTGTACGCACACTCGACAGCGTAGATGTCCTCATCAAGTGCAGCATTCATGTGTAGCACTTTCAGGAATGCGGGAAGAGTAGAAGACGAGAAGCATTGTTTGAAAGATAAATCTGAAAGTGAATTGAAAGTTAGCACGCTCCTAGTTAGCTTCTCACTACAGCTAACCTACGAGCCTTGTTTCACGCAGGTGCTGGTGTCATCCGAAGCCGTCCGTCGTCGCCAGTCACAAAATATTCATGCAAGCTCATCCTCATGGTCGCCGAGCAACTCAGCCCTTCGTTTGGGTTGGCACTTGAATCAGTCATCCCACTTGAGCATTCCACCTCGTTGATCTCCAGCAGCTTCTCCGTTGGAGCTGCTGTTGCCACGATCTCGTCACCCAAAGTCCATTGCAAGCTCTCGGATATCCAACAGCCTCCATTGAGAGCTAAGCCGCTGGGACAACACGGAGATGCAGCCGCAGCCGCTCGAATAGCACGCGTTGCAGTGGCTTGGTAAAGACGTCGGCAAGTTGCTCGTGCGTGGGGCAATACTTTACCATCACGTCACATAGCATCACGAATTAAGTGAAACTTGATGTTGATGTCTTGCTCGGCTGCGTGGCCATCTCGTTCTCCGTAACATTGATGGCTGACTGATTGTTCACGAGCAGGAGAGCCGTTTGGTTTTGTGTCCACGGTCCAAGCTCAACCATCAGCTGCCTGATCCAGATGCAGTCTTTCACTGCCATCGCAGCCGCCATATACTCTGGCTCCACGGTCGAGAGTGCGACCGAGTTCTGCTTTTTCGAGTGCCACTCGATCAGCATGCCGTTTAGCATCACTACCGCACCGGAGACAGATTTGGCGTCTCGGTTGTCGCCGCCCCAATCGGCATCGGCGAAGATTGACGTCCGGAACGTCGTCGCCGCGTTAGCACCAGACTGAAAGAACAGACCGTAGTCCATGGTGCCTCGCAGGTAGCGCAGGATGCAATTAACACCAACCAATTTCCTTCACAAGGTCGTGCCAGTAAGCGCGCGAAGTAGCTCACAGCCGTCGTGATGTCTGGACGGGTGCAGCTCGAGATCTACAACAGCGATCCCACAGCCTTGCGCATGACGCTGCTGCGCTCCATGATAAAGCTGTCGTCGTACTGGCGCATGGTGTCCATGGGGCTGCCATTGCCTTGCCGTCTGCCCTGCTGTATTGAATCACATTGGTGGAGAATAAATCCATCAGCGCGACGAACAGTGCTGATACCCAGGCACTTGTCCGCTTCTCCGAGATCCCTGATATCGCAACGCTGGTTCAACTTGCCCATGACCCAGTCGCTGTCCTCGTCACTTTCACTGGTGACGAGAACGTCATATACGTACAGACCAAGCAGCGAAAGCTTGCCCTTTTGACGGCGAAAGTACAGACATGGATCCAACTTGCTGCGCACATAGCCGATAGACAACAGGTATGCGTTAATAGCCTTGTTCCATAGCAGACCACTCTGCTACTATAGCCTCTTGAGCAGAAGCCACGCTTTACCTTTATCGCCACTGCCTTCATGAGGGCGCATGTAGAGCTGTCGATCAAGTTCGGACTTCACATAGGGATTTGGAACGTCACCTAGCTTCAGCCGACGTTGCCACTGTGCAGCCAAAACGATCATGAATCGCACGCTCGAAAACTTTAGTACGGGAGAATACGTCTCGGCAAAGTCAATCCCGAAGCGCTGCGTGAAGCTTCTCGCAACTAAGCGAGCTTTAAAGAGCTCCAGCTCTCCCCGACTGTTGAGCTTGATACGTAAGACCCATTTAGACGAGATCAGCTTTTCACCAGGAGGTATTTCCACCACTCCCCAAGTTCCGTTGGCCTTCAGGTCAGTGAACTCCTTCTCGATAGCGACTTTCCACGCCGGCCACTCAGGGGTCCACCTCGCCTCGGTAGCGTTACATGGGGCTGCTGGCTTGGCGGTCGTCCGCAAGAGAGTAGCATGACCGGCGTAATCACGGATTAGATCCTGCCTCAGCTCAAGATCATCCCTCTTCAGCTTCTTGCGAGAACCGAACACACGTCGAAGCACTACAGCGCTGATGGACCTTCCTGAGTCCTCGTCCCTTTCGTTGGAGCTTTCTCCAGGATCATCGCTGGGTGTTTCACGCCGCTTACGATCCAATCGAGTCTCCACATTGAGTGTCGCAGCTGATCGCGCCACAGTCGATTGTTGCGGCTGATCATCGATTGAATCATTCTCACCATGTAACTCCGCTAGCACATCCTTGGTTTCAGGGTCGTTGACGTCCATCTTCTCGATATTTTGTACGTCGGCGCTCACGAGGATCTTCCTCGTCCGCGGGATAAGCCGTTTGTATCCCTTTTGGCTGTTACAGATGCTGATGATCACTGCCTTCTCGGCACGGCGCTTGACAGATGCAGCTTTCTTGTGTGCAATGTGAGTTGTGCACCAAGAACCAAACCGCAAAATATGCACCACCTTGGGCGCGTTTCCAGTCAGGACATGCAGCGGTGCCTTGTGATCTGCATTAGCACGAGTCGGCACATGGTTGCGCACATATGAGGCAAATAGCACTGCATCACCCCAGTAGCGGTCGGGAAGTGTCGACGTCCATAGCATAGCACGCGAAGAATTTATTAACGCTCGGTGCATGCGCTCGACTTTGCCGTTAGATGACGAGTTGTCTGGAAGAGTGAGTTGCTGTCGAATACCACGATTCTTGCTGAGCTCCACAAATCCACGAACACGAAATTCGCCGCCACCGTTGCTGCGCATCACCTTCACTGTAGCCCCAAACTGGCTCTCAAACTCAGCAATGAAGTCCTCGAGATGCTTGGCAGCTTCATCCTTGGTATACAGCAGGTACATACGATTGTAGCTCGAACCATGGTCTACGAACGTCAGCATGTGGTTGTGTCCCTGTCGGTCTTGCTTGATGTCGGTCCTCAAGTCGACAGCAAGTACAGCACCTATTTCATCCGTTGGTGCTGATGTCGAAGTATCGACGGTTGGCTGCTTTGATTTGGTCTGCATAGCTTCAGCACACGGTAGACAGAGCTTGAGCTTCATGGACAGCACCTTCATGTCACTAGTCAGGCCGTGTGTGTGCATCTTGAGCAGGTCCTGGAAGTTGATGTGTCCCAACCTGGTGTGTCAATGCTGAAGTGTAGCGCTCGACACATCAGCAAACATTGCTACAGTGTTGGTGTTAGGCTCCACCATTTCGCCGTCCAACTTCCACAATGTACCACGGCGATTTGCTGCAGCTATGGTCCTCTCATTACGGTCCTTTAGCTCGCAATTGCTCGAGTTGAACTGGCACGAGATACGTGATCAGCGAGCTCCGTGACGATAGCAGATTTGGTATAGTCCAGACACAGTGAGCTTCGCGGAGTAGCCCAACTTGTTATACGTCGTCACTCACACAGTCAGCAGCGGCTCTTCATGCTAGCGTCACTACTTCACGTGATG